CAGTTTTTGCTCCTACTCCTTAATGCCGCGTGTATAGCGGAGGAGCAGCAAATATCAATTTTAAAGTATTTGGTTTTATCCGGCCGGGGTTCGAACCCACGACCTCCCGCACTCGAGGCGAACACGGTGCCACGAGACCACCGAGGCGGTTTTTCCAACCCATAAAAAAGTCAAAAACTACACTTAAGAAAAGTAGAAAAATAACAAATGTGTACAGGGCATGAACTCAAAAAATGTAATTATTTTTTTCTCTCGAAGAAAAGACATAACAAAAAAACAAAAATTAAAAAAGCTGGATTTACAGACCGAAAGACTGTGGAATCTAACCCTTATAATATATTTTGACAACTAATGAACATCGTTGTTACAAATGAACTATAAACATTAAAGTTATCAATACAAACCCCATAAAAAACAAGTATGAAAGAAGGTACTCAGGTATTTACGAACGGTAATCTTGTCGTGCTCCACTAGTAGTTATCCTTATTCTTATTGTTCTAAAAAAGAGCAGTATCAGCAAAATTTCTAGTCTGTTTGAGACAACATTATGTCTCAGGTCAATTTTGAGAGAGAAAAAACTTTGTATTGAGCTAGAACACTATTCTTTAAGCATTTTGTCAATATTTGCCTACTTTATTCTTAATCAATTCCATATATTATCATGATAATATGGTTTTGTTTTTTCGTAGTTACAATTTCCATTTATAAAAAGAAATCTTTCGTACCAGGCTCTGTTAATTACACTCATAACAAAGACAAATTAGATAGGATATAATGAAAAGGTAGAAACTGAATATTATCCAAGACCAAATGTAATAGCCGACACTGATTCAGATGATGAACCCTTATTTGCTTGTCCTGAGCGAAATTTCATAAAGGTTTTTACAAAAACCTCACGTCTTAAAATAGCATATATGCATAGGCAAGCATATATATGCCAACAAAGAAAATAGTTATTACAACGTGAAACTTCTCTGGGCTGAGACATGTGTAGATGATATTCATGAGCACAAAGGTTTTGCTACGATCAGTTTTAACAACTAATTTGAATATTGAAGAAGGATGGTCTGTTACGGTTTCTATTAGCCATTGAAAGGTTTAGTAGTAGGTTTAAGGAAATTTTACATGATATAAATGTAGAATGCAGCGCTACAAAAAAGACCATTTTTTATCAAACCTTTGATAATTTGAAACTATTAAGGCGATGATGAAAGAAAGAAATTTTATTCTGACGAGTGGTTATCACATCTCAAGTTTGGAGTGTATTTGCAAAATTTGTCAAAATTGGATCTAAAGATCCAGCAAAGTCGTCTTAAGTTAAAATTAAGAATTTGAATGTAGTTGATGATGAAGATTTGCAAAACACCTAGGCAGAATGTCAAGTGATGACATACCAGTACATGTTGTTTCTGCAGATCGCGCAACATATATTATTATACAGATAGCATAGACATTTCAATTTTACATTCATTCTTCTTGCAGAAACAGTACAGTGTAACTACAAAAAAATGCCACCGTCATTGTATTACTGTTTTACTTTCTAGTATTAATTGCCTTGATACATGTATTTTGAATTGATATAAAATGAAAATGCTTGAAACAAGTTATTTTATGTACTTAAAAATCCGACAGTTAAAGTCTAGATGAAGTTAAAAGTGATATGGGGTCTTTTGAACTTGCAGTGAGGTGTGAGCTTTTTGTACATGTTGAAAGCACCACTGTGACCTCTAGATGAAAAACAACAACTAAATATCTGTTAATTTGCTGGGATTTTAGCAAGTACACAATATATAAAGATTTTGTTTCATAAATCTATACAATACATCCCTCCTTTATAATTTAGATATAGTAATTAGTGAGTTGATAAATGTTCTCCACATGTCTTATTCCATTTGAAAGATTCATACGAGTATCCACAATAGTGAAGAAACATTAACCCCTCAAGTGTTATTCTTTTAACAAATTATTAAACAGACCAAAAGGGCTAGCTTGACCTGTAATTATTGGCTTTCCTGAATCTATTTTGGTTCTTTTGCAAAGAGATTTATTATACCCATGCTAGTGATAGCTGGGGGATATATAATAATCATAATGTCTGTTGGTCTGTCTGTTTGTTTGTAATATGTCTACAATCGTTAAGTCCTCTCAAAGTACAGAATAGATTTAAACCAAACTAATGCTATGTCTTGTGAGGGTTGTAAATTGTGCATCATATTTTTTTTTTATCTATTGAGGGTTTATGGGGAAATCTTTGGACCTAAAAGGAGAAAATCAGTAGTGGTGTAGTGTAACTACCTGCAGTCCGCAACTCCTCCGCAACCACTTAAGGGTTTAATGTGAAAGTTGTATGAAATATCAATTAAATATTTCAGTTGTGCGTCAAATACCATATTTATTTTCTACAAGGTGGGGCCCCCGAGGGTAGTTTGGGTCCAAATAGCAGAAATATCATTAATATAGGATAACACCTGCTAAATCACAATTCCTTCCAAACTATTAATTCTACATTGAGTACTATGATCATTTTCTGAAATTAGATTTTTTATATTTGTAGATATATGATAGGGTTTAAGAAAAAAAATATATGGCATAAAATATTTTTGCCACTTTAGAAAATATAGACTTTTAAAAATTAGCAAATTTCACCATTCTAGTAGTTTTGTAAAACTTCGGATATTAAGAATAGAATGAGCAAATATAGGACAAGAATTTAACCTCAGGTTTCAACATATTTTGACAGTTGAAATACAGTATTACAACATATTTTTACCAATAAAACAGTCAGAAGTTGATAAAGACTGACATTGGCTAATTTTCAGCTCTATTTTGACCATAAATTGCTATAAAATGATAACGCTCCATAAAGAGACTGTCATTGAATATTTTTGAAAAATATTTTGCACAGAGAGTAGTTGCAATGAAGGTATCATGTATACAAAATATTATAACATTGCATTCGGAGTCTATTGCATGGTTTTCTGTCAGACTGGCTCTAAATAAAAGAGTGATTCTCCCTTTTAAGTCTGTAATAAATGGGGTCTCAATTAACTTTTTTAATCAATAGTGCATTGTAAAAATCCTGATCATTCTTTGTGTTGGGATTTGTGGCATCAGGTAAAATAGATAGCTATGAAGATCTTACATTCTTGTATTTGATAGCTTTTTGAAAATTTATTATCAAAATGAACATCTTAAGTGAAACCATTTGGAAAACAATCGATGTTTCTATAAGAGCAAATTGTAAAACCTATGTGAGCCTATATTTAAGCGCTGATATTGATTTCAAATAACATTACTTATCATTTTCTAATATGGAAATAAATCATTCATTAAAGTACTTCGCATATTATGGTTTATATGAAGGAGTCAATATAAGCGCTAAAGTGTTTAGATGTAATAAAAACGTATTTGATAACAAATTATAATATGAAGAACTAAATCCTATATACGATATAGGCACACGTTGGCACTAATACCATCATTGTAATATCTCCATTACATCCTAATAACTTTTGACGGTTTTGGACTAAACCTGGATAATTTTTCTTAACATAACATCGGCCTTACGTATTACCACCATTATTTTTTGTTATTATTTGTATATCACCCATATAGTATTACATGTTAACATTAAATTAATGAACGCAAATGCAATCGAGTACAGTTACTTTTTTGAAGCTCTAACCATGTTCAGCCTGGTATATTTGATGATTTTTTTTCAACGTAAACAATAAGTAGAACAAAGCAATAGGTTCAGGTGTAATACCATTAAAACAATTACATCACCTGGGGTTGCATGTTAAAATATAACTAGCCATAAACAAATAAAAAAGATCGTTCTGTTTGCTTCCGGGCAATGAAATGGTAGAATTATCTTAACCTATCCATCATGCAGTTCAATCTTTAGTCATAAATTTCGTTCTGTGACTTGTGTTTTCATGATGTTCTTTTTGGCCATAGTATTGTCTGTTTATTTTTTTTCGACTGATAATTTTTATTGTCCCCGTGGTATCTTTCGTCCTTTTTGCTTTTACTTGTTTTTGATAGTATTATGTTGTCGATTTATATAGTTTTTTTTTTTAATTTTGAATGTCATGAGCATATGGTGGATGACATCTTTGAATTTACATGTGTGTATTTTCCCTTAGAATGCTTATACTCTTACGTCATCGTTCAATGACGTCATTTACACCGTCTGATCTCGGGTTACTTCATTCATAAAAAGCATATGACGTGAAGTAGGATTGAATCAGCCCAAACAAATCATGACGTTGCCGATCAGCTGACATATATATTTGTACTTTACCACGGGTGTGTATTCAGAGCGTTTGAAGAACGTCATATTAGAATTAACATTTATACCATGTAATAGATTCTTCTTTGGTTATATAGCTTTATTACATTGGTTGCAATCAATTGGCGAGATTTCCCAATGAAATAAAAACCGATAATTCAACATGTGAAATAAACTCGATGACGTTACATCAAAGCAAATTGTGAGTGCGTAGGGAAAGATATCAGTAGTTCCTGACATTTTCTACTTTATTCCCATAAAAAAAACATTGTCAATGTTATAAAAAGAATTACTAATCAAAGAATTCAAATATCGAAAAATATTCAACTCGTGACTGAACAACACTGATAATTAACTCATGCGCTACGCGCATTCGTGATTTAATGTGTTGTTCGGTCACTCGTTGAATACTGTTCCATATTTGAATTCTTCGATGACTTATTCTATGAGTATTCTTATTTTTTTTTATAATTTTCAAGTGATCACATATTGAGCAAATTGTGTATGTTTGTCTCAACGTGTCCTCATATTGCAACACTTAATTATTATGTTTTTAATAATCATAGACCCACACACTACAATGAAGTCATTTTGCGAATATAAAATAGTATGTAATTTTGTGTGAAGTTATTACTCTCATTATCATAATAATGAAACAAAAATGAACAATAAACATATATCGAAGACGTAACATGAGGCTACTTACACTGTATGGTTAGCTTAGTACCATGGCCTATGCTGTTATCGGTGTTCAATTTTGCACAATAATGACCCTCGTCTTTAAATGAAACATATTTGATTCTCAGCCAATGTATAACACCGTCAACCATTTTTGTTATATTTTCTGTTTCCGCTAAGTAATAGTTGTTTTTGAAAAAATGAAGTTGGACGTTTTCTACTTGGAGTTTATATCGTAATTTAAGTGGTTCACCCTCAGTTGCAAGAACTTCTGGAGGTGGGCTTTCAATTTCTAAAGCTGTAATTGACAAAACATTTCACATATTTGTAAAGTAGCGTAATTTTGTTATCAGTAAATTAAAATCAAACTAAATATTGTTGTTACATGTATATATATATGCACATTCATAGCTGTACAATCTGTCGATACCTGTATCTTGGAATTGCACACAGTCATGTTTTTTTTCTGACTGGTAATGGCGTCTTTACACTAAATCCATCGGACGTTGAATGTGTACTAATTGATATTTTAGTCTTAGATGCACGACTTTTTTATTAGTTGTTATTGGCTTTGAACTAGCTGTCAGCATGGTCAGTAACTGTTAGAAATTTACCTGTGATAATATAAACGTCACAAAAAATACGTCACTTTTTGTGGCGTTGATACAGTCGTGTGACGCGCAGTTTATACTTCGGTTGTGGTGTCCTGGTGTACTGTCGTAAATTCATGGGAGGTGTCCGCTGTTATTCTGTGGTTTACATGTTGTAATGTACTATTATATTACTTATTTATGTATTTCGCTGTCCTGAGTGTTCTTGCGTTTGTTTGTACTGTATTCCTGTCACGTAATGTCATTTTAGCGGTATTTTCAACATTGCCATATAAGCGGGAGGTTTGGCTAGCCATAAAACCAGGTTCAACCAACCATTTTTTCTTAAAATGTCCTGTACCCCTCAGGAATATGGCTGTTGTTATCAAATAGTCCGTTTCTATGTATGTTGGCGTTTGTTTTTGTTGCAGTTCAGTGTTTCTGTTGTTCCTTTGTTTTCCTCGTATAGTTGATGTGTTTCCCTCGGTTTTAGTTTGTAACCCGGATTTGTTTTCGCTTAAACGATTTATGACTATTGAACAGCGGTATACTACTGTTGCCTTTATTAAGTACTCTCAGGTCTGTACTTAGTGTCTTATTTGTTGTGGCAATGTATAAATACCCTAGGCCCGCCATGTCTGGTCTGTGATTTTGTTAGGTGTTTTTTCTGCTTTGTATCGATCTGATAGGTTAAGCCCTTTTCAACTGATTTTTATAGTTTTATTGTTTATGTTGTACTGTTACACCACAGGGTTTTGCGCCAGCAAATAAGTTTAACCCCGCACCATTCTGTATGTACCTGTCCCAATTCAGACGCATGTTATTCAGTGCTTGTCGTTTGTTGCTGTATATCATATTTGTTTTTCGTTCATTGTTTTGTACATAAATCAGGCTGTTAGTTTTCTCGTTTGAATTGTTTTACATTTGTCATTTCGGTGCCTTTTATAACTGACTATGCGATATGGGTTTTATTCATTGTTGAAAGCCGTACGGCGACCTGTAGTTATTAACTTCTGTGTCATTTGGTCTCTGGTGAAGAGTTGTCTCATTGGCATTCATACCACATCTGCTTATTGTTCTAGTAATGGAATAGATACAATCATTAAGTAAATAACACTGCTGTGGTTCTTGCTTATTCCTATCTTTTTTTCTTTTTTTTTAGAAAATTAAAATAACTTGTTATTGTGTCTCATATACAATCAGTATGCTAGAAATAAGTCTACACGTCCACCAACCTATTAACTTAAATAGTTTTTACATACCGTATATCATAAAATATTTAGACAATTGCATATTTTTAATCCATTTACACTTTACCAGTAGCTTTATGTTACATTGATAACTTAGCATTATTATCATTAAATGATAAATATGCACGAACGAAGTAAAGAAAAAGTAACTTACGTTTTATTTTCAGCTTTGTAATGTAACTTCGGCTACTGCCGTGTTTAACTTGTGCAAAATATTCGCCAAGGTCTTTGCGTATAACAGGCTTTATGTTAAAATAATTTAGCACACCATCATCTTTTTTTGAAACATTGCCCTCTTCTGCTACGATTTTATTGTTTCTGTACAACGTAAGTTGGACTCTGTCTGTGGAGAGTTTATACCGTAATGTGAGTGATTCTCCTTCAAATAATGTTAATTCTTGTGATGGACTTTCGACAATTGTTGCTCCTGTTAAATAAGATCATATCTATATATTCGTTTATATAATGGCCTAAACATTTAATACAAGCTTCCTGTCACTCGTTAAATAGGCAGAATATGTGATTATCTTTAAAATGCATGTATGTTTGTATGTATGCAAAACGAAGAAATACGACTACACTTTTGTCAACTAAATTAAACTATTATATATATTCTTTTAAATATTATTTGCCTTTGTTCCTTCAGTTGGCCTGTTCTATACTTTAATATAAAAAAAAACATAAAAGAATGTGAGCTCTAATTGGTGCTTGGCAATAACTAAAAGAAAGAAGTTATATACATGTACCAGTATATACACATGATATAACATTTACCGACTTCAATTTAGAACGTAGTTAAAAGTAGCCCTTCCCTGACAACAAATGTTGCTTTTGATGTCATTTTTACTTAAACTAACTCACAGATTTGAAGAAATGAAACTTTTGGTGAAAAGAAATATATATTTAGACCATTTTGAGCTAAATTTACTTGTCCATGAGTTTGCATTAGTTTTTAGTAGTACTTGACTTCCAAACGGTAGTATTTCATTACAACATTTTACACACTGGTTAAAAGTTGGCATGTAGAAAGTTGATACATGTACAATTCAGGATATACCTGGTTTCTATGAAGTTAAACTTAAAGTAAAATATTTAGAAAGCTGTGAAAATTGAAAAATTTGGTTTAAAAGATAGTGATTTTTAACTTATCACCATTTAAGCTAAATGCGGTGAAAGTTCTTAACTACTTATTTTGAATGTAAGTAGCCACATTTCAACTTTCTTTCGGTAAAAAAAAAAGTCTCATATTGCTCGATTTTTTTTTTTTTTTACTCATAGTAAATAAAAACTGTTTCATGACCATAACTGTATTATTCATCAATTAAAGGTCTATTACTGACCCCTGATGAAAAAAGGGGGTCCATATTCCCTTACACTTCAATACCTTTGATGTTTTACTTAACTCATTGTAAAAGTTATAAAAAAATCTTTAAAACAGTAAATCAAACAAGGAAAAATCAACCAAAATTTATCTTGATATTGAAAGTTTATGTTCCTGTAGATTGAATTTCAAATATTTCTTTTAAAGTCATACAGAACAGTCAGTTTAAATTGAGCTTTCAATTTTTGCAAATACAAGTTGCATTATGATGAGAAATGATTTTATGTACTACTGATTGACCAGTGAAAAAAAAAGAAAAAAAAAAACAAAAGACGTCTGATAAACATTTTTGTCGGTCTCTTTAAAGCGAAGAGCGATGAAAACAAAATTATCAGACAATAATTGATTTTCTTTTCTTAACTGATCATTTGAAATGAAATTAGCCACATTTCAACCTTTTTTTTACCAATATTGCCAGATTAGAGCCTTACACCTGAATTTGTGCTATTTTCATCTTTTTCACCCTTACAATATGCATGCATATAAAAAAAATGTCTGAAATTGCTAGGAATGCACAGTAAGTTGTTTCTGTGATATCAAACAGTAAAAAAAAAATGTTTACTACAAAAAAAAATTGTCCCCATGAAGATTGTATGAGACAATTTGATGTTTACCTGTTATAGTATTCGTCATTGCATGTATTTGGCAGATAGCATAGCCTAATGTAAAAACTGCATAAACTCAGCCCAATCACATAAATTGTCTCAAATAAAAGTTTTCTACCTTAAATTTTATTGACTTATAGTTAATAAAAATTGTTTCATGACCATAACTGTATTATTGATTAATTATTGACACCTGATGAAAACAAAGGGGGGGGGGGGCAATATTCCTTGACACTTCAATACATTTGATTTTTTACCAAACTCATTGTAAAAGTTGTAAAAAGTCTTTTATGCAGTAGGGCAAGCAAGGAAAACTCAACAAAACTTGATCTTGATATTAAAAGTTTATGTTCCTGCAGACGGAAATTGAGTTTCAAGGATTTTCTTTTAAAGTCATACATTTCAGTCAATCTTAACTGAGCTTTGAATTTTGCAAATATAAGTTCCATTATGATGAAAAATGATTTTATTTACTACACATTGACCAAGCCTTAAGAAAAAAGCAAAAGAGAATACAAAAAAAATACAACTGATTTTTCACAGATTTTGAAATAGAATTACACTTAATTGCATTCACGATTCCTTCTTCTTCTTCCGAATACGGGAGTTGGTTCCTAGGTAGGAGTGTAAAACTTCCCGGAACTTATGTGCTATGTACATATGGACTTAATTAAATTTACTATAAACAATAAATAATATATACATTATGTACAGTGGATTTGTGGTTTACTAAGTTGGTGTGGATCCTTCAAATGTTAGAGTTGATATGTAACTTTTGAAGGGTTCCAGGGTTTCAGACAAACGTATTGTTTAAGGTATTGGATTCCAGTCAGAGATGGTCTTTGGATAAAAAGAATATTTATAGAAGACTATATTAGTTGCTTTTTGCCGAAATTTATGTTGCCCCCTAGTACGTCTATCAGATTTAGTTAAATTGTCCTTCGGAACTTCTACTAACCTTCAATTAATTTTATATAGCATTGTTAATCTAGCTTTTTTTCTATTATATAAACTGTCCCATTGTAAGGAATTAATCATGTAACAAACTGCAGCCGGTGTTCGGTCTTTATAAGAATTATGGAACAAGAGTGCACACGCTGAAATGTCTCGCCTTCTTTACTAACCATTGATATTATGTTGATAGTCCTAAATGAAAGCTTTACTACAACTATTACATAAACTTAACATGATCCAAGAAAATGAAGTCAAGGTCATATAAACCAAACGAGAAATACATGTACACCTTACAATCATTCAATACACTAAATATAGTTGACCTATTGCTTATAGTTTCTCAGAAACAGACTTAACCAAGAAAACTAAACATTGACCAATGAATCGTGTAAATGAGGTCAAGGTCAGATGTACCATGCCAGACACACATGAACAGCTTACAATCCTTCCATACAACAAATATAGCTGACCTATTGCTTATAGTTTAAGAATAAAAACAGACTGAAACACATAAACTTAACACTGAGCAATGAACCATGAAAATGAGGTCAAGGTCAAATAAAAGATGCGAGACTGACATGTACATCATAGAATATTTCCATACACCAAATATAGTTGACTTATTGCATATAGTATAAGGAAAAAGACCAAAACTCAAAAACTTAACTTTGACCACTGAACCATGAAAATAAGGTCAAAGTCAGATGACACCTGCCAGTTGGACATGTACACCTTACAATCATTCCATACACCAAATATAGTAGACCTATTGCATAAAGTATAAGAAAAACGGACCAAAACACAAAAACTTAACTATAACCACTCAACCATGAAAATGAGGTCAAGGTCAGATGACACCTGCCAACTAGACATGTACACCTTACAATCATTCCATACACCAAATATAGTAGACCTATTGCATACAGTATAACAAAAACAGACCAAAACACAAAAACTTAACTATAACCACTGAACCATGAAAATGAGGTCAAGGACAAATGACACCTGCCAGACACACATGTACACCTTACAATCATTCCATACACCAAATATAGTTGACCTATTGCTTATAGTATTAGAAAAACAGACCAAAACACAAAAACTTAACATTGACCAATGAACCATGAAAATAGGTCAAGGACAAATGACACCTGCCAGACAGACATGTACACCTTACAATCATTCCATACACCAAATATAGTTGACCAAAGGCTTATAGTATTAGAAAAACAGACCAAAACACAAAAACTTAACATTGACCAATGAACCGTGAAAATGAGGTCAAGGTCAGATGAAACCTGCCAGACTGACATGTATCCCTTATAATCATTCCATACACTAGCCTTTGTTAGTCTTGTATTATTTTTAATTTTAGTTTCTTGTGTACAATTTGGAGTTTAGTATGGCGTTCATTATCACTGAACTAGTATATATATTTGTTTAGGGGCCAGATGAAGGACGCCTCCGGGTGCGGGAATTTCTCGCTGCATTGAAGACCTGTTGGTGGCCTTCTGCTGTTGTCTGTTCTGTGGTCGGGTTGTTGTCTCTTTGACACATTCCCCATTTCCATTCTCAATTTTACTACATATAGCTGACCTACTGCTTGTAGTATCTGAGAAACGGACCTAATCACGTAACTTTAACCTTGATCACTGATCCATGAAATGAAGCTGAGGTCAGGTGAACCCTGTCTGATGGACATGTAGACGTTGCAAGGAACCCATATACCAAATATAGTTATCCTATTACTCATAATAAGTGAGAAATTTACATAACAAAAAAACTAAACTTTTTTTTCAAGCAGTCGCTGAACCATGAAAATAAGGTCAAGGACATTGGACATATGACAGACGGAAAGTTCGTAACATAAGGTATCTGCATACAAAGTATGAAGCATCCAGGTCTTCTACCTTCTGAAATATAAAGCTTTATACAAATAGTTTACGCCGCCGGATAGTAATACCTATGTCTCACTTTCTGCGACTTTCGTCGCAGGCGAGACAAAAATCTAGCTACTTTACAACCTGAGTGATGAGGTGCTTTTTGTAAGGATCCCAAAAAGGGGAAGAGTATTCGACGACTGGACGGACAAGCGATGTGCACGTAAGGATTTTAACCTTACGTGTGCAGTTTTTTTAAATTTCTACGACAAAAGCCTAGGAAGGTTTTATTTGCTTTACAGGTAATATTATTTAAATGTGTTCCCCAGTCAAGATCATGGCTTATAGCTACACCTAAATATTTACTGTCTTTAACAGATTCTAATACATGAGTATGCAATGTATAATCAAAAGCAGAAGTGTTAAGTTTTTTTAGATATATGTATCAAATAGCATTTTTCAGGATTAAAATTCATCTACCAGTCCTGTTCCCACTAGACGAAACTAGATAAATCATTTTGAAGTAATTGTGCATCAGAATTATTATTTACATTTCTATATAACAAGCAGTCATCTGCAAAAAGTCTTGCATTGCAAGTTACATTTT